CTAAATTTGTTAATTTGAAAATTTCTGTCTATTATTATTTGCTTATGGTGTTCACTTGTAGAATTTCTCAAATTCTATGAAAAGTTTGAATTTAAAAACGTGAGTTTCACTTTAAAAATAAGACAATAAAACACAAAATAACTTATAGTCTGTATTTTTCATTATTCTTGAAAATAGTTCATAGTTTAAAATGAAACCGGGCGCGGTGGCTCAAGCCTGTAATCCCAGCACTTTGGGAGGCCGAGACGGGTAGATCACGAGGTCAGGAGATCGAGACCATCCTGGCTAACACGGTGACACCCCGTCTCTACTAAAAAATACAAAAAAAAAAAATTAGCCGGACGAGGTGGCGGGCGCCTGTAGTCCCAGCTACTCGGGAGGCTGAGGCAGGAGAATGGCGTAAACCCGGGAGGCGGAGCTTGCAGTGAGCTGAGATCCGGCCACTGCACTCCAGCCTGGGCGACAGAGCGAGACTCCGTCTCAAAAAAAAAAAAAGTATAGACTTTTTTTTTTCTTTTTTTGATACAGAGTTTCGCTCTTGTTGCCCAGGCTGGAGCACAATGGTGCAGTCTTGGCTTACTGTAACCTCTGCCTCCCGGGTTCAAGCGATTCTCCTGCCTCAGGCTTCCCAAGTAGCTGGGATTATAGGCATGCGCCACCACACCCGGCTAATTTTGTATTTTTAGTAGAGACAGGGTTTCTCCATGTTGGTCAGGCTAGTCTCAAACTCCTGACCTCAGGTGATCCACCCGCCTTGGCCTCTCAAAAGTACTGGGATTACAGGTGTGAGCCACCGTAGTCAGCCTAAATATATAGACATTTTAAATACTTGTTTAATGTTTCTAAATTGTCAGCATTAGAGGCCTTCTTCAACATCCAGTAGTAGTGTTCTAAGAAACAAGATGAAAATGTGTTAATTGTTTTTCTAAAAGGATATATAGTATGTCTGATGTGGACAATTTTCTTCATCTTGGGCTATAAATTAATGTCTTTTGAGGAGATTTTTCTTCAGTATATTTTCAGCAGTTCAAAGTTTCCACCTAATCAAGTTATTTCATTTATCATAATGGATGTTGGCCAGGTATCTGTTAGTTTATACATCTGCTTATTCTAATATTATGGTATTATAATCATTTCACGTGTCATAATTATCTATTTTTATGCTCTCCCATAAGAATAGCTGTGTCATTGTACAGAACATAAGCCTGTGTTTTCTAGGTCTAGAATGACACATGTGACATTGTATTGTCACTATTTGAGTGATACCTATTTCTAAGTGCTTTGTTTTGTCAAAACTTTATGTTTAGAAATGTTGAAGTAAGTTGGAATGTGTTTTCACTACCATATCCACTGTTGATCAATTGCTGTTTTCTGGAAGACAGCCTCTGTATCTGATTTATCTATGTCTAAATGTACTTGTCTAGCTTTATTTGACTTATTTACTCTTACAGAAAATAAGCTAAGAAATGTTAATTGAATGCTAATTAGCATTAAAATGAAAGGGTTAAGTTTTCTTTAAAATTTTGTTAACTCATTATGTGACCATTTTTTCTTTTTTTTAACAGTTAAGAAAATACTGTTTGCATTTGTAGATATTAGACTCTGATTTTTTTCGTCACTTGTCCACATCTTCTAGTATCTCAGAAAAATTAGCAATTTAGAAGGTCTTATGTATTTGCTACTGCTATTTTTCTGTTTAGTACATAGCAGTTGTTAAACTGAAATTAGAGCTTGTTTTCATAGTTTAAAATTATTCACTCACTAAAATAGCTGTCTTGGTCCAGGTTCTAGCAACCATAATTTGATGGTTGAAGTTTTTTCAGTTCTTGTTTGGTTTGGTGGGGAAGGGCGTGCTGTTAATATTGTAAAACTATTACCTAGCTCTGGGCAGTTTAGTAAATTAGTTACCAGGCAAACCTACTGAAAAGATTGACTATTCATTAACCCCAAAGGATCAACCATTTAAGCTTGTCAACCATTTAAGCTTGGAACCGGAATCTGGAGACTTTTCCCAGAAAACAGTTTTGGGGTGACAAGAGAAACTCCAGCTTTGAAATAGAACAAGAGAAGTCTGCTGAAGAGTTCAAAGTAAAAATGAACACCCATTCAGTGAGAGACTGAAACAATACACTGACTGACTCTTGATTGATGAAACTCCATGCCAGGATAAAAATTAAACTTAGTAATTGATAATGCATATGAGCGAGAGACACTGTGTGTGACAAAGAAAGATGAACCAGGTGTAATGATAGGAATCCTGGGATCTCACCCTAAATTTCCAGAGAGTTTGAAAAGACTGTTTTATAGGATTAGTACATTATGTTATCAGACTCAGGGGAAGAGAGCCCTGGTCTAAGAGTAGAGTAACTAATAAGTGAAATCTAATATATCCTTGGCATAAAGGGAACCTAATGTCCCTAGAGATGAGTAAACAGCAAATTCCAGCCTTGAGGATGAAGCAGTGTTGAGGCAAATCTGGGTCAGATACAAAGTTTGAGTATCTTTGATTAGCGTCTATCCTGAACATGGTGAATCCAATTCAGTTCTGTTGGCACATACTTATTATTTGTCAAGGAAGATTAAGAAATGGACCTTGTCTTCGGGTTAATGTGACAGATGCATAAATAATCATTTTAACAGAAAATGATAGAAGAATATACAGGCTACTTCGGTAGTTAAGAGAAGGAGCGTTTAGCCTAACCTGTAGTTTTTTTGTTTGTTTGTTTGTTTTTTTAAGGCTTCCTTAGGAGAGGCAACCTGAGATGAGTTTCTGATGGATAGGAGTTAGGTAAAGACTAAGCAGGATATTGAGAAGGGACAGCATAAACTGAAGATCCATAAAATAGCATGAAACTGGTTGAATGTTTGCCCAGCTTATCAGTTGGCCTAGGCCAGGATTTCTTAACCTTCTACTTTCTTGGAGCAGCTGTCCTGTGCATTGGAGGATGTTTAACAGCATCCCAGGCCTCTACCCACGAGATGGCGGCAGCAGCGGCAGCAGCACCATCTGCAGCAGTTGGAACACCACAGTTGGGCAACTAAAAATTCCCCTGGCGGGGACACTCCTGGTTAAGAACCGCTGACCTGGGCTAAGATTTAGTTAAATTGGGATTATATATTCTGAAACTCAATGGCTTCATGTTTTCTTTTATATTCCCCTTTTTCCCTTCATAAAAATTTCTTTTCAAATTCCAGCCTAGTCTTAACCAAAGAAGAAACTAAATTATTTTATATCTTGTAGAGAGAAAAGGATGTGGCTAGAGTTCTATATGTATGGTGGCTGTGCCCAGAACAATGCTGTTTAGAGAACTGGATAACAGAAACTGAATATAGATAGGTTTTTCACTCAGCTGTAAGAACATCAAAATTTAGAACTCCCTTATAGTTTAAATTATCTCACCAGCTGTTTCAGCACTGTTTCTAGATTTATTCTACAACTTAAAATACGGAAAATTCAAACATACACAAGAAAATGTAAAAATGGTTAGATACCAGATGTATGTGAGAAAATAAAGTTTAACATTATAATTGGCTGAGTAGGCCCACAAGGAACCACAGGATTTGTGCCATGATCTTTCTAGTGTTTGAAGAATTATTCTCATGATGATACCCAGCTTCTCTGAAGAATGAGAAAATGAAACTTAGATTGCTGTAGGACTTTAGGATTAAATTAGAAAATCAGCAAGCATATTTTAAAACTATTAAACGCATAAGCCAGACTTATCAGATATTTAAGTATCAGGCTGATAAAAACAACTTACGATTTTAAAGTACTTTAAAAGTTATTTGTGGTCAGGCACGGTGGCTCACGCCTGTAATCCCAGCATTTTGGGTGGCCAAGGCGGGCAGATCACGAGGTCAGGAGTTTGAGACCAGCCTGGCCAACATGGTGTGAAACCCTGTCTCTATTAAAGATACAAAAACATTAGCCGGGTATGGTGGCAGGCGCCTGTAATCCCAGCTACTTGGGAGGCTAAGGCAGGAGAATCACTTGAACCCGGGAGGTGGAGGTTGCAGTGAGCCAAGATTGTGCCATTGCACTCCAGCCTGGGCAACAGAGCGAGACTCTGTCTCAAAAAAAAAAAGGTTATTTGTATATGTGTGTGTATATATCTATATATTATATATACACATACATATTGTATATTACGGTAATAAATATTAGTATAAACTGCTTCCAACTCTACTTGCTAACTTTCCTTTTTATTTTCTATTAGGTAGTAGGGATACAAGTATAAATAATATTGAGCCACTAGCTTCGAGGAAGTCATAATCTTGATAGATACATAGATTTACAAATAACTAGAGTAAAATATGTAAAATGTACTGTGGTAGATTTTAAAATGACATTGAATTAATGAATTTGCTGTAAGAATAATGTGAATTAGTTTGAGAGGGATAAAAATATCAAGGACTATGTTAAATTGTGGAGGATAGAATGTGTAGCATTGCTATCACTTAAGGCTAAAGGCAAGTAGTTTGAACTATCTGGTGATACTTTTCAAAACCTGCATACTAAGCAAAAGTTGCAGGGAAGCAACTGCCATTTTTACATTTTTCAAATTTTGCTGCTTAATGTTAAGATTAACCAACTATTTGTTATAGTAATTCAGCCAAAATGCACAAAAATGGGGTGTTATCACTGGGTTCATTTTCACTTGGGATGAGAGTATTACTTGAGTGTAAAACTAGTATGAAAGTACATTAGAATCAAGGTTCCCTAAAATGTTTTTATATGGCAGTATATTTACTGAAAAAATTTTGCATATAGTTGAACCTGTGCAGTTCAAACCTGTGTTATTCAAGGGTCAACTGTACTGTGATACTGTGGTACCTCTCTAAATGTTAACTGAAATACAAAGTATGCAAAAAGCATAGTAAAAGTGGTTAAAAATAGATTGATAAATCTTTTGGTTTTTAAAATTTGGTGACAGCTGTTAAAAGACATGTATAAGATACTTGGTTTATTCCTGAATTTTTCTTTTTTTTTCTTTTTTCAGGTCCCAGAACAGTTTTTTTCTGGGCTCCAATTATGAAATGGGTAAGTCTTGAGTTTTTGCAGAAGCTACGGAAAGAAAAATTCCTTAATAGGAATTTACTAATTTGAAGTAACTTTTATGAAGGATATGCTTTAGAATATTCTCGTTATGCCTCTCGATTATTTCATGGCAAATATTCTCAGACATACCATTTTCTACATAAAGCAACTGTCTACTTTAGTTTTTCTGAACTCTTTAGATAAGAGGCCTTCTGGGAACATACTTGTTATCAAAAAACTTAAAATTGTGTGCCATAGGGACATGAAATTTCATTCTGAAATTTTATTACTAAGTAAAGCATTAAACTAGTTAGAACCCCCAAGTTAACTTTTATTATTAATTTAGTATGAGAACTGAAGGTGCTAACACCAAAATATAGGTAAGGAAAGTTAGTCTCAAAAAGCAGATGGATTTATTCGGGTATAAATATTAGCATTTGGTAAATGACGGAACCTAGGACTTCTGACTGCAAGCCCAGTGCTTTTACTCTTCCCCAGAGTTTTCTTTCTTGAAGTTCTCACTTAGCTGGAAAAAAACAATTGTGGTGGCTGTTTGTAGCAAATCATTGATTTTATGTTGAAAGGGCCAGTTTGGTTCTATAACTGTGCTTCTCAGTGTCATCTTTCTGGACCTGCAGTGTCATCATTTGAGAACTTGTTAGGCCCCATTACAGACCTACTAAATCTAAAACTCTAGACGTGGAGTCCGGTGAGATGTGTTTTCATAACCTCTTCAGATGATTCTCTGATGCCCTCTAAAGTTTGAAAACTACTGGTGTGTAGGCTTTTTTTTTTTTTAATGTGGTAAAATACACATAAAATTTACTATCTGAACCATTTTCAAAGTGTACAGTTCAGTAGTGTTAAGTACATTTACATCATTGTTAACCAATCTCCAGAACCCTTTTTATCTTGTAAAAGTAAGACTCTGTACCCTTAATTCCCCATTCTCCTTCTCCTGGTCCCTGGCAACCACCATTCTACCTTCTGTCTCTATGAATTTCATTACTCTAAGTACCTCTTGTAAATGGAATCAAAATGTATTTGTCTTTTTGTAGTTGGCTTATTTCACCTAGCATAATGTCCACAAGGTACATTAATGTTGTCACATGTGTCAGAATTTCCTTTCTTTTTAAGGCTGAATAGCATTCCATTGTATGTATTTACATTTTGTTTATTCATCTATATGTTGATTGGACAATTGGTTTGCTTCCACATTTTTGCTGTGAATAATGCTACCATGAACATTGATGTA